TTACAGTTTGGATCGATAGAAATAACATGACTGGTTTAACGCCAGCGGCTATAGCTGATGGAATCGAGAATAGTGAAATTATTATACTTGGTATGACATATAGTTATAAAATTAGTCCTTGGTGCCAGAGAGAAGGCAATTATGCATTTCAACGTCAAACAAAAATTATTCCATTAAAATTACCACCAGCCTATCGTGCAGATGGCTGGCTTGGTCTACTCTTAGCAAATTTAAATTATGTTAATTTTACTAAACATCAATTTGATATTGCCTACGAACAACTAAAAACAGAAATTGAAAACTATCGAAAACAAGTGATCAATTCTCCTCACAGGAAATTATTTTTAGAAGAACATGAGACACCTTTGAACACAAATGTTACACATGAGATTAATACTATACACAAATTGGATCATAATGAACATCATTCTCCTGTTCTTCCTCGATCGGATGCTCTTTATACATCAATTCCAATACAGAATTGGACACAACAGAATGTGATGGACTTTTTAAATGACAAAAAGTTACATCAATTTACTCTACTTTGTAATGACATGGATGGACCTGCATTACAACAATTATATGCATTTTGTAATAATAATTCAACTACAGCCTTCGAATCTTTACACAAACAATTGAAGAAGAAATCAATCGATGATGATCTATCTCCAATTGAATACACACGTTTTATTAGTGAAATGAAAAAATTATCTATTGATATTCCACCTCCACCTCCTGTACGATCAGGTGCCTGCACAATAAGCTAAAATATTTTATAATTATGCAATCGTATGCTTTCTTAGAAATGCAAGACACTGATAAACAGAACTATATACTCATGAATGCTTTAAAAATTTATAGTATTTTATGAGGGGTCCACAAGAAATTGAAGTTATCTTGGAGCAATTTTATACTATATAATTACACTCTTTAGCTCTAGCAACTCCCTTAGCTCCCTTTACTCCCTTTACTCCTTTAACTACCTTTACTCCCTTAGCTCCCTTTACTCCTTTAACTCCTTTAACTCCCTTTACTCCCTTAGGTCCCTTAACTCCTTTAACTCCCTTTACTCCCTTAGCTCCCTTAGCTCCCTTTACTCCTTTAACTCCCTTTACTCCCTTAACTCCTTTAACTCCCTTTATTCCCTTAACTCCTTTAACTCCCTTTATTCCCTTAACTCTCTTAGGTCCCTTAGCTCCCTTTACTCCCTTAACTCCCTTTACTCCTTTAACTCCTTTAACTCCCTTTACTCCCTTAGCTCCCTTAAGTCCTTTACTCCCTTAACTCTCTTAGGTCCCTTAGCTCCCTTTAACTGCCTTAGGTTCCTTAGCTCCCTTTAACTCCCTTTACTCCCTTAGCTCCCTTGAACTCCCTTTACTCCCTTTACTCCCTTAACTCCTTTAACTCCTTTAACTCCCTTTACTCCCTTAGCTCCCTTTACTCCTTTAACTCCCTTTACTCCCTTAGCTCCCTTAGGTCCCTTAACTCCTTTAACTCCCTTTACTCCTTTAACTCCCTTTACTCCCTTAGCTCCCTTAGGTCCCTTAACTCCTTTAACTCCCTTTACTCCCTTAGCTCCCTTGAACTCCCTTTACTCCCTTTACTCCCTTAGGTCCCTTAACTCCTTTAACTCCCTTTACTCCCTTAACTCCCTTAGCTCCCTTTACTTCCTTAACTTCCTAGTCGTTGAAACGCGGAATGCAACGTGGTTTTACATGTGATTTAGTGACTTGTAACACGTGAAGCATGGATTGTGGACGTGTTGATCACATTGGACAAAGCTAACGGAGATAAAAATCGTGAAAATGTGCGCTTTTCTGAATTATAGTTTTATTAAAATTTCAAAGTTTCTGCGTGTACTTGTCGGGCTTTTTTTGAGTTTTGTCTGTCTGGGAAGCAGTTCTTTACATTTTCATACCCGGTTATCTATTGGTTTGGGTTTCTTGAGTTTACAATAATTATTCGATTAATCTTTGAATGAAATAAAAATAAACGCCTATGTGGGAAAAGATGATTTTCGTTGTTTTGTAGAGGGGTGTTTTATGGTAAACGGTCAATAATAAGGAGTGGTTGCGTATTATTTTGATAGATGGACAAATGTGTCAAGCTGTATGTAACTACTTTTATTCGTTTTCTTGCTCTGGGGTTTTTTAGTTTTATTGTCGTTCTGCATTATAGAAGATACACATTGTTAGGAAGAAGTAGATTATATGCTTCAGTATTGACATGTTCATACAGGACGTACGGGTCTATACCCAGTTATATTTATGCAATATGTCCTGCCTGATACATATATGATAGTGTAGATAAGTGTGACAAGAATGTGTGTGACAAGAATGTGTGTGAAAGTGTTTTCGAGTTCTTATACCTATAAATGTTTCTTTTAAGTTGACCGATTTTCTTTTTTTGTATTTTGTTTATTTAATTTATAAAGTAACGGTTTTAAGAGCTGTGTTTTCCTCCAGTTGTTAAACAGAAACTTGTCAGTTTTATTTTTATTTTTTTGTGAACTAATTTAGATTGTTCGTCTTACCTTGCTTAATTTCGTACAATGTCAAAAGATACACAAGACTGGAGTGAAATTTATGAGCGCAACATACAGCAATGTCTTAAAATAATCGATGGATACGATTTCAGCAGTTTAAAGTTACCACCTCACATTGATCAATTTGTTCAAGAATTATCGTGTCACCATAATTGTGATCCCAAGGTCCTTTTTTACACGTTATTATCAGTAATAGGACATTATTGTGAAGCTGTTACAGTGTATAACATTGAAGCGAAGCAATCCAGGCCAATTACGGTCTTCGAAGTTTTGATCGCACCTTCAGGTATATATATATATGTATTCTTCAAGAGAATCTTTTGTGTATTTACTTTTATATTATTTTAGGTGTTGAAAAATCAAAGTATATAAACATCATTTCGAACGCGTGTACAACATTCGAAATGTATTTATATGAGAAATGTTACAAAAAAGAACGCAATTTTGGTGAACCTGTCATCGTGAAGCCTAATGTAGAGGTGAGAAGTTATTGTTATCTCGTTGTTATAAATAACAATAACACTTTTTGTTATTAGTTATTTTTAACAATAACTATAACAAAAAGTGTTATTGTTATTTGTACCAATAACTTTTTGGTTATTGTTATTTATAACAATAACAATAACAATAAATTCTCACCCCTAGCCTTATGTACAAGTTGGAGAGAACAAGAAAAGAAATACAGAATCGTATGAGAAATGGGTCACTGATCATGGGTCAATAAAACAAGTTTATACAACGCCTGCTCTTTTGAATATGATGACGAGTTTAAACTTATACTTTCTTGCAAATGAAGGTGATGGAATGCTTCAAGAGTGCTCCTTTTGGAACCCAGCGGACACAACCGCTGATATGAAGCAAGGAGCCCTTATTGATTGTAAGTGACCATGTGTATTGTTTTATATGATTTCATCAAGCTGCTTTTCGTATATCTGAATTTTTGCTCTCTAATACTTAGCGCATACCAAAAGTCTTTACGGAGCTACATCATTTTCTTATAATATGCTTGGAGAAATTTTCTTTTTACACGAACAGACAAAAGCAATAAAATAAACTGTTCTTATAAATCGTAATTAGAACCTTTCTCACACTGAATCTTCTGGTATATTCTGTTTATTAATACAACTTACAAGATGAATTGGAAATTGAAATGCGAAGTATAGCCATTAATAAGTCTCATTCGTCAATTAAGTTTACCTAAAAATAATATTCCTCATAACATTATTATTACAATATTAGATAAATAATATTTAAATAGTGTCGAAATTGAGAGCTTTGTCTTTACTGTGTGTTCGTATAAAGAGAAAATTTCTTCAAGCATACTATAAGAAAGTGATGTAGCTCCGTAAAGACTTTTGGTATGCTCTGAGTAGGCTGGGATGGTAACAAAATTATCAAAAGTACTGTTACTCACGGCAGTAAAATTATTAAAGATCGTACTATGTCGATGTGTATCGCCAGTACAGGGCGTCGATGGCCGGAAATGTTAAAAGAATTATCGTACGTAGATATTTTTTATGTGGTCTTTAAAACTTATGTATTTATTTTCATCCTGTCTGTACTATCGTAGTAGAATACAACGTGCAGGTGGTTTGCACGAAAGATGTACATTTTTTTGCTTCGACGTATTTGGAGATGCTCACAATGATTGTATGACTTTAACAACTGAAAAACAATATTACAATAATTTGTATGATGAATTATTATGTACAGCCACACAAAATGACCATTTAAAGCATTCGTTAGTTCAAGTTTTATGTATCATTAAATTGTTCGATTATAGAACATTAGTATGGTCCCGTGAATCATTCTTGTTTATTCAACCACGATTAAACGAATTAAAACTAAATAAGAAATGTTCTTTATTAGAAAACCCATATTTATTCCGGAGTAAACAACAAATGGCAGTCCGTCGACGTGGAGCAGAACATACAGTTCGATATGCATGTCTTATCCAAATGTTTAAAAACGCATTGTATGTATTGAGTATAATGGACGAAAAAGTAGTAAAATCTGGTAATATTAGTGAAGAGTTTGAGCTAGAAGCTAAAACAATAGTAAGAATAGTTGACTAGAAATAAAATACAACTGTATTTTGTTTATTTTTTCCTACTTTTTTCAGATAATAAATACGTTTGGCTCAGTCTTGGAACGTCAAAACTCCTTTCATAAGAACGGCGTTCCTATTCAACCATTAGAAGTTGATATAGAATCAGCAACGTCTGCAGTTGCCTTAGTTTTTTCCTTGCTCTTACCACAATGTGCAATTTTGTTCAACTATGGAACCGATCATGATGATAAATCATATGAACAGATAGTTATCGATGAGGAGAAGATGAAAATGACAAAACATCAAGAACTTACGATAAGAATAGAAAAATTCATTATAAATCTGAATTACTGTTTTTTTCACAAAACGTGTATCACAAGTAGTCATTTCCGCGATAGGCGTGAAATGGTGAACGATGTACTTAATGATCTAGTTACACGTGATTTATTATACTGTGGTGATGGTGAAAGAATATTCTTTGAAACGAAACGTTCATCAATGGTGAAAACTTATTTAAAATTTATACCAACTACTGAGGATGAACCACGATTTCGCGACAGTCTTTTAGAGTTATATAATATACAATATGAAGATTATATAAAACAATTTGATCAAGCTTCATTATTACCAGCAAAAAGCTCTTTAACACCTTTTGGCCGTGATTATATTCGGAAACCACAATACGCACCTATCATGAATAAAAAATGTATTTTATTTTGATATTTTTTTTCGTAAATGATGTTTTATACCATAATAGATTGTTTTGTAACACCAGACAAGCAATTGAATACATCAAATGATGAGACTGATGTTGCTCGTGAAGAAACACAATTAAATCGACAAGGTAATATTCTCTTTTTTTTTTATAAAATAACAGAAATTCAATTTTCAATGAGTCATGGATGTGTTTCAGATAATGACTTACGTTCTTTACCATTAGTAGATGTCAATCATCATGATCAGCATGAACTTTTAACATGTAATGCCGATAAAACAATACAACATTCATCAATTCTTGGCGCCAATCAATGTATTCAAACTACAAAAGCAACGGATCATATCTTGACAATCCAAGAAAATGTCGTAAAAGATATTAATGATATACAAAACCGAAATTTATTGTTGTCGTCAGCGGTCGGTACGTTTCGATTGATTATTGCAAAGATTTTCTCAGTTTTCGCGAACTGTTGTATTGAATTTCCCTTTTCACAGCTATACCGAGAATAAGCACGACTCCTAAAACTTGTGCTATTGCAACCGAACAAGATGAAAACTCAGTTCTCTTGAAAAAAGATGGTATGATTGCATTTACTAAAACTTCTGTATTGAAATAGATTCTGCTTTTATTGTGTAGAATTTTATGCTCTTCAAAATCAACCAACAGTATCAGATGATTGTGATCAAACAACCCTTGAAAATGTTGATCTGAATACTTGGCATGATCGTCCATTGAATGTTACTACACCAGAGGATGTAAATAATGACCACGATGATATACTAACAAAAAATTCAGAACTAGATGGTATTACAGATGATCTAAGTAATTGAGAATTTTATGATTATTAAAAAATAAAATAGCGAAAATTTTCTTGCGTTCAAATTAGAACAATCTAGTAGTGAAGCAGCAGGACAACTGGATAAAATTCTGGAAGCAACTCAAAATGATCAAGGTTAGATATAAATATATGAAATACATTGTATTTTTTAAGTCAATTTCTTTTTATTAGAGAAAATAGTAGGAAAAACAATGGATATAAATAAGAAAATACTTGCTGGAAAAGCTTTACTAATTCCATCCATTGTACTAACAAAAGGATTGATTGGATTACACATAAGAGCACCAGCAAAAGATATCAATGATGCATTAGAGTATCTTGTAGCCGAAGAATTATTGAAAAAAGACAAGTATCTTCAAGCCAGAAACCATCCAATTGAATCATATTTGAAATGTCTTCCGAAAGATTTTGATAACATATCAAATAAATATTTATTACAACGAAAATTATCAGAACCTCAAGTGACTGTTGATAAATATCTTGATTCATTGAAAACAATAAAATATGCAACACTAGTACAATGCCCAACGAGTATATTGATTAATGTGTTACAAACACCACCTTATGATCAGTTTCAGATTGATCTTTCAAGCAAACGTAAAGGTATGTATATGTTCCAGTACGCATCTTGTAGTACAATTTGCTATTTTATGTTTTATATTTATGTAAATGGACAGAATCCGATGAAGATACAAATAATGAATCTTTTATAAATGAAGAAAAACGAAAAAAAATGAAAACGAGTGGTGAAAATAAATGACAACGGCATTCATGTTATTGGCCATTACATTGAAAGTCGACACATCATTCAAAAACTGGTGTTTTCTATTTTTTTCTTATTTTTATTTTCCTTTTCGAGCCATTTCTTATATTCATTTCTTTTATTCCGATTAGATAAAAAACATTTTGATATATTGATTTGTATCGTTTATAGATAGAACAACGTGTTATATAGTTACTGCTTATGGCTGATATTAATTACCTTCAGTTAGTTTTGAGTGACTTCAGTTTGAAACAATTATTTTACATAAATTGGTTTAACAACAATCTTGATGTTGGTGTAGCAAATCGTAATACAATAATCATAGATTTATTACGTGAATGCACAGGTGAAAAATTAGAACAGTGGACGCCAATAACAATCGAACAATCGTTAATGGCAATCAATGCATTAGGTTTTCTCAATCGGGTTGAAGAAAAACTCTTAGATACAAAGTTAAATACTTATTTAACATCCAAAGGTTGTTCAAATATGATAGTCGAACCATATATTAAAAAATGTTGTGATACGAAATTAAAAATGATCATTGGACGAAAAATAATAATATTCAAAATAGATGGTTCATATACCGGTACATTAACATATGGTAATTGTCTAAAATGTATGAAACAATATTCACATAATTATTTTATGTATCAAGACAAAAAATACGTTACGTACGATTCAGTCTTCAGCAGTAACTTAGTCTATTTGGGTGGTAATTACGGTTATGATAAAAAATTTATCAGGTGGTTGTCAAATTCTATTTTATATTTGTATAGTGGTTTTGAGAATTTTGCTAAATGTTATAATGCAACAAACAATCAAATTTCTAAAACTGTCGATACCGCTAATATCAATCTATGCCCAACTCGAATACAAGATTTTTGGTTTTTGTACAACTTTATAAATATATCATTCTTTTATACCGAATCAACAATATTGCAAGTTCCAAGTAACTGGTAATATAACAGCTTTGAATTAACATATCATTTTAGTATATCTGTGTCTTACTGTTGCTTTAGCGATCGACAAAAATTAGTCGAATTTATGAATACTAATTATGACAGATTAAACAAACATTTTGTAAACTATTGGGCTTTACACAAAGAACATCATAGTTGCGGAACAACATGTTCAATGGCATTTGTAACAGACGGATTTCAAAAATCCAGTCGCTTTATATGCGGTAATATTAAAATGGTTGTTCGCAGTAAAGAACTAGGTAAATCGAAAAAATATCTTATGTACTTAACCTTCCGTTACCGTCATGAAATCCACTGAAATGCGTAGCTTCTCAAAACAGATACATTTTAATTAAAGATCATAGCTATTTAAAATGTGGCGCCTTTTTAACAGCAACGTAATTATTTGATTCAAGTAGCTATTTCACGATATATATACAAATATCAAATTATCTAAATAGCTAATTCATTTTTATAGAATTCCACACTCTCCTTTCTATTGAGTAAATGCCTATATTGAATCTTTAAATATTTTTATGCGTATACCTGATGTATATACTTGTAGTCAAGAAATATTTATATAGTTATGAGTATATTTATTTAAATGAGTAGCAAATTTTTTAATAGCTGAATAGCTTTTTAATAAGCAAATTAACTATTGTTAAAAAGCGTTGTTATTCAACTGTTAAAATTTTGGATTTTGTTTCTTTTTTTTCTCAGAATCCTGTTCGTAGGCATTTAGTAACTTAAGTTTAACAGACCAGTAATATTTAAGTAACTATAAGATTTTAAATTGATGAAATTTGTTTGAGTAGAATGAGAACAATTCAAAGACATTAAATGGTGTTTCAAAGAGAGTTTTTATTTAGTCTAATAATAGCATTAGAAGAAATTAAACAAATATAAAAGCATTTAATCTTATCGATATATTTATAATATACAACTCAATCTTAATTTAGCGCATTCTTCACATCAAATAACTAATACTAAAAGATTTATCTTTTTTTTTGATTTTTTTCTCAACATTTCTATTAGAATAATTCGCTAACCTGAAACACATTCCTAATATTTACTTCTATAATCACATATATTTATCTATTTTTAATTCAAATCTATTCAATACTATTCGGGAATAAATAGCTAACAAATCCTTAAATAGTGCTAGCCATTTAATATCTCGAGAAGAAAATAAAGTCATAGTAAATAAATAGCTAATAAAATATTTAAATAGTACAGGCGAAGCATTAAATAGTGCTAGAGTTTAAAAAGCCTAAGACCAGATCGTTCATAAAGGTTTACAGCTAAATAAGAGTCTAACATATATTTTTCTTAGCTATTTTTCAGAGATTGCTTATATGACAAAAATTGTATCTCTTTTGAGAATGAGCCATAAAATGAGGAAGGTAACAGAGGGTTAACTGTTTAATTCTCAATGAGCAAGTAAATTTTTTTAAGGATATGTACAAGTTGGGTGTGGTAATCGCCCAGAATATGAAGCAAAACATAAAAGAAAACAGGATAATCAATGTAAATCAATAACAACATCAACAAATGGTTCAAATGACGATACAACAGATGCTTTATGTCGAAGCTGTAAACTAAATCCGATATCACATGATGTTGAAGAAGAAATAATTACCAACAATGAATGCAATATTAATCGAAATCCACGCTTTGTAAATGGGAAAGTTAGATCTTATGGCGTGATATACACGATGTATAACTGTGGAATTGTTGTGGATTTTCTTGAGATTAACTTGTCTGAGCAAGTATTTATCACTTTGTTGCATTGGTTCAGTATGTTAGATAAAATCAGTGATTTAACAAAAACACCGACGATTTTCATCTACGATAATGCGTGTAGCGTATGGTTATATTTCAAAACACGATTTCATACCACCAAAACGTTAGTTCTAACACAATCAGCACAGTACCTTGATTCATGTGAGATGTTTATTGACCGTCTTCATCAAAAAACACACACTCGTCCCATGTGTCGTACAGAAAGGAATATTGATTTGAAACCACATTTAGATGATGTGAATACAATGGTTTGTGAACAGAATAATTCATGGCTCAAGCAGTTCATCAATATATTGTGCAATTTATCAGGGCAACGTTCCAAATTTTATTATTTGTTTCTATTTCATTTGCTAAATTGCAGACGTTGCTCATTCAATCCAGAAAAAAAACCACACCTTTTGTGATTTAATAATAATTCTATTCTTTCACATTTTATCTTTCGTTGTTTCTAACCAATTTATATTATACATTGTTAGGGATATCTTCGCATAGTTTCACTTATTGTTCGTCTTCTTTTTTTATGGGTTGAATATATTTCTTTCTTTCTTTCTGATCACATATATTTCTTTCTATCTGATCATATATATTTCTTTCGTTCTTTCTTTCTTTCTGATCATATATATTTCGATCACATATCTTCTTATTCTTCTTATGTTTAAACCCTGGAATCGTTCGGCCACGTATATATGTTCCTCCTCTTCTATATGATCGGTCTGATATAGTGTGTGTAATTATCACCATCAAATAGAAACCGTTAGCAGACATTCTTTTCGAAAATACCCTTACAAGTTCAGTTAAACAACGAAAGATATTCACAGGTATTCAAGAAGTTCTATAATTATAGATAAAGGAAAAGCAAGTAAATGAACTGTGAAAAGCTTAAGGCCCCCCCCCCCCCCCCCCGGGACAAAAAAAATTCCCATAAAAAATACCAATTTTGGGATTCATCCATATTCAGATAGCTTATCATCTACGCTTTCGAATGGACTATAATTTATTGGTTTTCTGATGGTTTTTGAGGGTTTTACAATGAGTTTTCTGAAAACCCTTTCTGAAATTTTTTTTTAAAACTTTAATTATTGATGATATTTGAATTTTTTCCTATACTACATATTAAACAAAAAAAACTAATTCTCAAAGTAAAAACTTGTTTTGCGTTTTTCTCAAAACTATTTTTTTATATTTTATCTGTTAGTATTTTCTAGATTTCTCCACTATTTTGAATGACAGAAAGCTCGGGAAGGTTTTAAATTAAAGCTAAAGCTCAGCACTAGAGCATAGCAAAAGCCGTAGTTTTTGTTTTCCGTTTAGTTCTTGATGAAAAAATCGAGTTTTGTAAAGAGTTAACCTCAAGTTTTTCCAAAAACCTTTTTTGTTATTCAAAAAACCGGCTTTACTAAGCTTTAGAGCTGCGCTTTAGCTTCATTTTAAAACCGTCCGAAGTTTTCTATCATTCAAAACGGTGGAGAAATCCTGGAGCTACGACGGCCTACTTTTTATCCTTGATATCAGGATAACTCGAGCAAAACTCAATATTACGAACTCAATTTTTGACTGAAGACTATCCAAGGTTAGATACATATTCAGTAAAAATTTCACTAAGAGTGAGTGCTCTGGAAAAAAAATTTTGATTCGGGGGGGCCCTTAAGGAATAAAGGAAATGAATGGTCAGGGGCGTTTAA